GCTCCGAGCCTACCTGCGGCCAGAGCCGGGCTCTCGCGCTTCTCTCCGGGTGGTGCAGACCCCGCAGGAGCAGTTAGAGCCCCTCCTGGACGTCCTCACTGTCTAACACGCCCCCTCCTGATTTTTGCATCCTCAGGACGCGTGACCAAAACCAAAGACGGCCATGAAGTGCGATCGTGCAAAGTAGCCGATAAAACCGGCAGCATCACCATCTCCGTGTGGGATGAGATCGGAGGTCTCATACAGCCAGGAGATATTATTCGGTTGACCCGAGGGTAGGTGTGCCCACGGTTGGGGTAGCCCCGGGATTGGTGGATCTCTGGGTCTTGGCACGGCCTGGAGTTTCCTGCTTTCTCTGTGCGCCACTCCCAGAATATCTGCCTCCTTGAGGCTCGCTTTGAGGAGTGGGCAGAGTTGTGACCTTAGCAGTTAAAGACAGGTTTCAAGCGTGTATCCTCACCCCCAGTGTATAGATTTAGAGAGCATTTTTACATTGTCTTCTGGGAGTCAGTGGGACTTCAGTAGATAGAGGTACAGGAATTTTCTCTTTTTTATAGTTATCAAATTGAATATAGTCTTCCGTTGTTTTCCATCCCTCCTCTCTTTTTCATGACTTGACAGGCTGGTCAATGTTTTACTTATATTATTTAGTTAGTGTGGACATAAATTAAAATTGCTCTTGGGGAATTTGGCATTTTATGTGCCATGTCAAATTTGTACTTTGAAAAAGTTAAGAGGAAAAGTTTACAATACCTGGAAGGTTCATTCACAAAAATGATTCTTATATCCTCTCTTGAAAGGTTAGTGTTGTACAAAAACCAAAGATACACAGAAAATATGTTTGGTAGAATGACGTCTGTTATATCTCTCTCCAAAAGAGTCACTTGGCATATTAGTGGCTTTGAAAAATAATTCAGTACTACTTTCTTTTTGGATGGACTACTTTAAAAAATTTACCAACTCTGAAGATAAAAGTTCAGAGAAGGATCTTGAAAATAGAATTTGAAAACTATTGTGATCAATAATATTATTGTAATAATTTTTAATCATAACTGCTGGAAAAGTAGGCTGATGTTGGCCTAATAAGTAGACTCAGAGAAGTATGGGAGAACCCAGCTTGCAGGAGCTTAAAGCACTTTGATGCTATCTTATAGGTCTTACAGCATCTTCAGGAAGTGAGGTAGGGTGTCATCCAAGCAGGAAGTGAGAGTCAGGACTGAGACATTTGTTTCTCAAACACTGACTCATGACACTAATGCTGTCTTTTAAACTTCTACATGTTTAACCTCAACAAAAGAGAATTCCTACTTGGGAGGGTGTGGAGAGGATTAGCGTAATTACATTTTTTGTCTTCCCAAATATCTTTCACCCAATGATTAAATACTTCTGGGTGAAAGATTACTTAATCTAGTGTTGTGGTTTACGTTTGTAATCCCAGCACTTTGGGAGGCTGAGGTCGAAGGATTGCTTGAGCCTAGGAGTTTGAGAACCAGCCTAGGCAGCATAGCGAAATCTTGTCTCTACAAAAAAATTAGCTGAGTGAGGTGGCACATGCCTGTGTTCCCAGCTGCTGGAGCAGACGTGTCTACTCAGGAGGCTAAGATGGAAGGATCGCCTGAGCCCAGGAAGTTGAGGCTGTGGTGAGCTGTGATCATGTCACTGCACTCCAGCCTGGGTGTCAGAGACCCTGACTCAAAAAACCCCCAAAAATTATATACTGAAAATATCGTCTTAATTTCAAATATTTCATATGTTGTAGTCATAGTCATAGACGTTTCCATAAAAAAGTTTGTTGAAACATTAAACCCAGTAGCCATGGTTTCTATAGAATTTAAGACTTATTATCTGGGAATACAATCTAAAAGAAAATGTGAAATTAAGGAAGCTCTATTTACTACTTCAGTGTGACTTTGAGTAGTTATTACACCTCATACCTCAGCTTCCTCTTCTGTAAAATGGGAATAATTATACCTTACTAAAATAACACTCAGCTTGGGGTCTGACCCATTATAACCCTTAAATTTTGGTTAAAACTAAGAAAAGTAGCTTTTGAAGAGAGGCATACCCAACATCTAAATAACTTAATTTGAGTATTGGCATATTTATCAAAAAATCCTGCGAACTTGATCTCAGTGTCCTCATTCCTTAAGCAAAAGTTAAATGTTTGTGTTGTAATTTTTTTCAAAAGATTAATTTTTCCTTTAGTAAGGAACATTAATGCCCTGTCTCTTGAGTCACTCTTGGTATAACTTGAGTGATTAGTGGAGTTTTTAGTGAATAACCCTTAGAACTGTATAGTAAGTCATTTTTATAGTCACAAAGTTTCCATAGTAGTTGTACGAAGACCTGTTGAAAACCAAACCTTTGACTGATATTATAATTTTGATTAATTTACGTTTTTCTTAGATTTATATCAAGAAATTTATTTAATGATACTATCTGCATTCAGAATTGATCAGAGTAAACAATTGTTTAGTCAGTCCAAATTACAAATTTGGAAGGCAGAATGGTGAAAGATTTCTAGTGTTTTTAGCCCACTGATTAAATTTTATCCGATTTTCTAGCTTGGGAACTCTTATGTATTTTATGAATGCAGAAGAAAAACTATTGTATCAGTATTTGACCAAATGGTGTAAATGAGTGTAAGAGTAAACACTAGGATGCTGATTTTATAAATCCTGTGGTTGAAAAATATTTTCTCAAGTTTCTGCAATTAAAAGCCCATCCTTTGTTAATTGTATCTTTCCTTGTTAATTGTAAAGATATGATTGTCTTGAGTATAATAATACTTGCTTTGCAAAAAAGACTTTTGTTTTCTCTGGTTTGTTACAGTTTAGATAATTATGTCAACATTTGGCAGTGGAATTTCTCTATTCTTTTGTAAGTAGCAAGTTCATCACAGTCAGATTTCTTCTATTTGATATACTCTGGTAGGCAGAGAGGGCTTGATTTTCAATTCGACCTCATTGCAGAAAGTGTAATATGACTTGACTTCAATAGAAGAAAATATACGTATTTCTAAATAACCGATGTTTATTTTCTCTAGCTATGCGTCCATGTGGAAAGGTTGTCTGACGCTTTATACTGGAAGGGGTGGTGAACTTCAGAAAATTGGGGAGTAAGTATTAAAATGCATTTTGTATAACTGCTTAAATTACAAATAATATCTAGAATAATTGATAGGTACAAACTATACATTTCTTCTTGGCTTTTTTTTGACTAGTAAACTGAATGTCTTTGGCAGCTTAACTGAAAAAATAACTTTGCATGTACCAGTTTAACACCCATACATATTGTTTCCTGTGGTTGAGAATGTCAGTTTTTCTTGGCAAAGAGCAGTAAGAAGCTGCAGTTGAGACCAGCCCCCGTGGGACCATTTCTGTAGGTTTTAGAAATGTGTATCTCTCAGGTGTCACAGGGCCATTTGACATAGATTTTCTCTTCCAGTGATCTGCCAGATAAGAAGCTAGGCATGAGGTTCAGGCCATAAGTTTAAATTTTCTTTTTCTCTGGTTATGGATGAATGTACTCAAAGTGAAAGGACTTGCAGCAGTGAAGACTGAAGTCCTCTATTTATCCACAGTCTAGGTGCGGTGCAGGCAGCCACATTGCGGGCTTCCATACCCACCACCCTGGTAATGATCTCCACCCTGATCCGGAGGAACCCTCCTCTCTAGGGGTGAAAAGGTAATTCAGCCTCCACTCAAGCCTAGACATTTGGGTTGTGTTCGTAAAGTATGGTATAGGCGATGAGCCAAATCATTGTTCTATTTGGTTAATGTTTGGACATATACTTAATGTCCATCAAATTGGAGGATATTTAAAGACATGCCACAAATGACACCAAATTAAACAAAAAGCTTTTCCACACTCAGGTAATGAGATACTTTGTTTGGAGAATCTGTTGATAATGAAAGAAAAACAGCAATCATACTAGCTTTTAGAGATCAGAAGTTGGTTTAGCACTTTGCCTTTACTAGAGGGAAAATTAGGATTCATTTCTGTTTATAGTTAGAGTAGTATAAGTAGAGTTACATGTTTTATGAATGGTCTTCGTGCCTGGTACAGAAAGATTCAGGATTCTGTCATGAGCTTCATGCATACTCGTAGAGGTGTTTACAGTAACAAAAATCAGTTATGTACAGAGCCACTGGGGTCACTAAGTTCTTAAGAACTGTTCTTTGTCAGGGTCAGCCTAAGATTTACCACAACTGGTTCAGATTACTTTCCTGTGGGGTGAGGAGCCATGAGGAGCCAAGATAATGCTTATGTGTGATGTTAACACACACCGTATAGTCAACTTAGAACAATCACCCAGATAAACCGGTGGCTTGATAGCCAGTTGTTGTTATTTATTGCCTAGAATGCGCTCTTAACCTTGAATGATTATCTTTGCAGATTCACAGTGATTGGTCAAAAGAGGGACTGGATGGGAGTGTGTGAATGGATCAGTGCAAATCCATCACCACTGCTGGAGAAGCTACTCCGGAGCCCTAGGCGTGGTCACAGTGTCCACCTGTGGAGAGCAGGGCTGGGCTGTGTCTCTGTGTCCTTGATCTTTGACGTGATCTATGTTTTGCAGTACAAAAGTAGAATTTAAATACAAAATAGAATGTTTTATATATTGTACACAGTCAAATATTTGATTTTTTATGGGACATAGAAAGTTTTTGTAAAGGAATAGAGTTAGCATGTTGCTACTAAGTTAATTTGTTTGACGCCTGTGTTCGTCATTCCTGTAAGTTGGGCATGTTATATAAAGACAGACTGATTATTTCAGAAGTCATGTAACGTGTCCTATATTTTCTTTCAGATTTTGTATGGTTTATTCAGAATTGCCAAATTTCAGTGAACCCAACCCAGATTACCGAGGACAGCAGAACAAAGGGGTAATTAATCCATATGTGAAGTGTATTTTTATGATTAGACTAATTTTGACTGTACCGTAATACTGTGACTAGGCTAGCCCTGTGACACCCAAGAGTGTAATGAAGAGAATCATAAAAAGAATATTTAATTTAATTTTTAGATAACACTTTTATATGTAGTATGTGCCATTTAGCACTTTCCAGAGTGGGGAGTAACAGGAGATAGAATAGATGTAACAGCTCAGAAAGGCTTGGGAAACATTTCTAGATATTTCAGCCTTGAATGGACATGGACACATTTTTTAAAAAATTTGTTAAAAATTGTAAAGAAACTTAAAATGTGAGAAAGAATGAGTATAATGTTATAATTGTGTTGTTTTTATTCTCACTCAGTTAAACACTTTTTTTTAGGCACAGAGTGAACTGAAGAATAATTCCATGAGTGGTAGTATGGGTACAGGTACATTTGGACCAGTGGGTAAGATTTTTTTTTTCAGCGTATTTGTGATCAAGTGTTAGGATTAAGAGAGTTATGGGAGATTTAGAGGAAAAAAGTCTTTAGATATAATTTAATACCAGATATAATTTAGATATAATTTAATACTAGTAAACAGGGAATCCCAAAATAACTGATTTACTAGAAAGTATGTATATTCTTAAACTGACTTATTGAACACATTCTGTTTTAAACATTTGAGCCAGTTACTAGGAATACAATGGTGACCACTGACTAATAATGAGAATTCTAAGTTTTGGTTATGTCTGTGAGGTGGTATCATATTGTTTTTTCATTGATTTCTACAAAATTTCTGTGGTGATTGCTTACAGTAGAATCCAGAATTCCTGGTTATTTTGGTGCATGTAAACCTTTGCAAAGTATTAGCTGAGCTTAATTTTTTCACATACTGGTAGTGGCCCCTTTAAAAGATGAGTTTTTAAAAGGCTAATCATGACCATCAAATGTCATTTAACATGACCCCTCAGATGTCATGTTAATGGTCCTTGCAACCCTGTTAAAGGTCTTTTGACATCTTTTTTCTTATTACTGAGGAAAAGTCTTTTGTGATTGGGATTCATTAGGTTGGCTGATGTTTTATTTAACCTGATGGGCTAACATGTTTTGGCACAACTGTTCATCATATTGTGGGAAACTTTGCTGTCTTTGCCTTCAAGAAGTTAGAATTACACTGTTTTGAGATATTAATCATATTTGAGCCAAATGTTAATACTTAAATGCGATTTTGTCCTTTATTTTTCTTTGTTACATGGAAGCAATGCAGATCTGTGCTTTTTCATCCTCTATACATTTCTAATTTTTTTTGCCCATACTTTTCGAAAAACCCTATTTTTTTTTTTTTTTTTTTTTTTTTAGCAAGAAATGTTTGTGTTTTTCCTGATATTATTTATTAGCATTGATAGCAGGTGTTGGAACTTCAAATAGGTGTGCATCTGTAGCACTGCTTTTGAAAATGCTGATGATTTTTTCCCCCTTTTTTTAGGAAATGGTGTTCAAACCGGCCCTGAATCAAGGGGATACCAATTTTCATATGCTGGTAGAAGCAATGGCCGGGGACCTATGCATCTACAACCTCCAGGAACATCGCATGATCAGACAGCCATGGCTACTATAAGTAATGGCAGGGACCCTCGGAGAGCCTTTAAAAGATGACCTATGCAGAATGCTCACATGTAGTTCTTAAGCTATGTGTCCTACTTGAACACTTACTGCACTTTTATTTATTAACTGTGAAGAGTATGTCCTTTATTGGTTTCCTTGTGCATTTTTAGTTTGTTAAGAAGAAGGGTTTGTTTTTATAGCAGAACTGTTGAGCTGCTCAAGTCTCCTACTGAAGAATGGGAACACTCTGAAAAGCAGGGGCATTTATTTTTAGAGTAAGGTTGGATAGCCTCTAAAATCTGCACCCATTTCATGGGTGAGTTACTTTAAGACGTCAGCTTTATAGCCTCTGTGAGTCTGTCTTCTGTATAAATTTTATAATATTTACCATAAAGCTTAGTGGGAGATGTTCTTTTGTCTTGAATTCAGATAATGCCAACTAAAGCAATAACCACCAAAACCCCCCACAAACTTGTCAATGCTAGCAGCAGTTTTTTAGTGTTTGTGGCTCCTGGAGTGATTGACTTCTCCCTTGAATGATTGCTATTAAGATTTTCTGAGGACTGAATCATCCTAAATTCTGGTTTTATTACCAAAAAACCAGAATCAGAATTATGGAATAGAATGTGATCTATATTGTAACAAGTAGTTTTTAGAAGAAAACTGCATTTACTTTAATTTTAGGGCAGTGCTCTTAATGTTTGTTATCAACTCTGGATTACATTGAAGGAAAATTTAATACTGAGGCCTTGAATTTTTATTTTTTGAAACAACCATGTTAAATATTAAAGTCATTTGAGGGAGTTATAAAGTCATAATAAATATTGATCTAATTATTTTAAAAAATAATTGTGGATGAACATAGTGAAGGTGATTCTGAGTGAATCAGTGTAGTTGGATGCAGACCTCAGTGATAGGGCTCCAGGTCCTTATGGAGCTCACCCAGAGTAAAATCCCAGGTTCTTTGAGGGAGTGTGTGCGTGTTGTCAAAGTTTTTGAACATTCACATAGCCTTATTAGCAAAGGTTGGAAATGACTCTCTCAAGGAAGCAGATTCAGCTTTATTGGGAAGTATCATAGGTAGAGTGTCTGTGTGTGTCGGGCACTCATATCCACTTCCCTGAAGGGTGGTTGGCCGTGAGTTTCTCCTTTGTGGGAATTTAACTCGTCTTGAATATTATCTCTTGAATAAAACTTGCATTACTGTTAACAAGCCTCCCTCCCTTTTGCTCCATATGTCATGCCTTACAGTGGAGAGCCAGTGCCTCACCCCAGTTGTAATCGGATGGCGTCAGCTTGGTGACTGCGTGGTGCTACATTTGCCGCTTTGTTTTTTCCCACATCACATCACAAAGATAATTTAAGTACACTTTGTTTTTTGAAAAGTTCATAGCATTTTAATATAGAATGCCATGCCCAGATGTCTTGCTTGCTCCAGTTCAGCGTATTTCACAAGTGCATGCCGATGGGTTCTGGGCACTGTGGATTACGGGGTAGACAATGCAGGATGATCACAAGAAGTGGATTAGGGTCTGTAGTACTTTTGTAACTAGGCTAATTCATTATAGAAAAAGTTTTCCTTTATTCATATGTTAATAGTTCCAGTTAATTTTGGTTTGTGACTAATACTTAACATTTTCACACTTCAAAATACCTCAAAAGAAGTTGTCTCAGGCTTGGGCAAGAGTATGTTGCGTAAGATTGTAGATGCTTAGAACTCTAAGTAGAGATGGGAGCAGCAACACTTTCAATTATTTGTTGGCGAATACAGCATTAAAGATGATTTTAAAAGAAGGAATCCTGGAGTTTTGGAAAAGTAGAATACTGTAGGTTTCTAGACCTCCAGTTCTGCCTTGTGGTCTGATTGTGACATTGGGCAAGTTGCTGCCTTGGGTTCGCAACTGTGAAAGCAAGTAAGTAACGGCACTTCTTTCTAGAGTTGTTCAAGGCTTTTGCGTAAGTAACTCTGGCATTTGATAAGCAGTCAGGTAAACTTTGTTGTCTAATCATACCTCAAAAGTAGAAAAAACTCAGAATTTGTTGTGGAAATATTGTTACCCTTTAAACATGTTGACATTAAATGGAAAAAGACCTAGGCTTTTGCTTTTTGAATGACACTTGCCTCAATAATATAACCTTGTTCTGTGTTTTTGTTGTTTATTAATGAATTTCTTTTTTCTTAAGGGAAGCTTCCAAACCAGAGCAAAGTTACAACCCATAATGAATGTTTGCTTTGCCAGTCTCCTTGGACAGCACTCATCGAGAAGCTGTGAGGAAGAGCGTTTCTCCCTCCTTCCTGGTGCTTCCAGCTGTCGACTTGGAAATAAGTTTAAATAACACCCACTGAGAACACACACCATTTAGTATAGAGATACACTACTCAACACTACCAGCATTGGGTCCCCCATCATTTCTGTAAACACTTCTGGGTGGGTCACAGTCTGATTGGGCCAGTTCACCCCTCCTCTCTGGGCAGGTTCCAGGGAGAGTTGCCGCAATACAGAAACTGGGAGATGAAACGCACAAGCCTGGTCACCATCCCCAGCAGAGAAGGCTGCACTGTGCTTTCCTGTAGGTGTTCATACACTGGGTTTTCCCATGGAGACCAGCTCTCCTGCTTTGTCCCATATAGTCTTAGAATTTTGTTTTGAATTTGATGACAGTTTAAGGATACCCTAAATATGTGCATTTGTCACTTGAGTTTTTCTCATTTAAGATTTTAAATGAATGCTTAATTTGCCAAGTTAAGTATGCCAGGGGAATGATGCTAAAAACAAACAGGTCAGTAAAAAATAAAAGTTAACAATTTACGCTAAGGAGAACTTTTAAAGTGTAGGAAAGTAGACTGGGCACAGTGGCTCAGCTTGTAATCCCAGCACTTTGAGAAGCCGAGGTGAGTGGATTGCTTGAGCCCGTGGGTTCGAGACGAGCCCAGGCAACTTGGCAAGACCTCGTCTCTACAATAAATTAAAAATTAGCCAGGTGTGGTAGCGTGCGCCTGTAGTTCTGGCTACTTGGAAGACTGAGGGAAGGATCATTGGTGTCCAGCTGGTTGACACTGGGGTGGCCATGAGTGTGCCACTGCACCTCCACCCTTTTTTAAGATCTGCTTTTCCTTCTCACCTTGTTTAGTCCCTTGTCTGATGAGAGAGATGGACACAGTTCTCCATTGTGGGCAGGGGCAGGGATAGTGGTAGATGTGAAAGCCTTGCAGTGGAACCCTGGGTGCTCGGGTTTCAGCATGTGACTAAGTGCTGGGTAATCCAGCCACCTCACATTTCACAAGATGGGTGGAATGACCCAACAGTTTAGATATGCTGCAGAGGAAATTTAATGGTGACCTTTGGAATAGCACTGTTGGGAATGGGGAGTTGTTACACCCCAAGGGAGAAGCTAGGAAAACATTGTATTTTCCAGGTATATCTAAATTATGTCCAAATGCCTTGAGGTTTGCTTTCTGGGCAGTGACCGGGAGTTTGGATTCAAATAGTGTAACCAAATTACCCCAGATCTCTGAACTCTGGTATTTCTCAAAGCACAGGTGATGGTCTAAGAACAGATGAGAAAATCAAGTACAGACAACAATGAGCCTTTTTTTTCATGTTAACATTAAACGCAAAGATGTTACTAAGAGGTTACTGTTAAAGGAATTAACAACATGATGTGAAAATGGACATTTTAAGAACTTGACTAGTAGGCTTTTAGTCTAAGCCTTTTGGGAGATCATGGTAGACTGCCCGCTATTGTATATCATGGCTCTCTGAGTATTAACAAGGCTTGAGTGCTCACTGTTGACCTGTGACAGCCTGGGTCCCTTGAGAGTCCATTGACATACTGTTAATACCTTTCACACAACAGCTGTTGTCTCCACCTCTACTGAAGGGCTAATTGCATGTTTTTAGAAACCCGTTCTTTGTTGCCATTTCCAATCAGAAATGCAAGTAAATTTTATGTCTGTTTCACCTCATCAACAATTATGCTTCTGAAGATAGGCTAGTTTAAGTTTCTTGGTCCTTAAGTTGAACCATGTTGAATAAAATTCACAAAGAATAGTTCATAAACCATCCGCATGAGGCTCCCTGGAACTTAGTAGGTCAGGCTGGAGAGTTTACCAATGTAGGTTTGCTAGACATGTGCTTGAAACACCCCAAAAATGCTTGTCTCCTGCCCCTGTGATCTGAAAATGAGAACTTTGTTCTGAAGTTACTTTGTATGTTTTCTCAGGGTTTTGTTTTGTTTTTTTTACCTTTGTGAGGCTAAAATATGCCAAAGTTCTGGATTGTGGAACAGAAACAATCATACTTAGGACGCTGTGCCTTGGGTGGGCAGAATTGACAGGTAAAGCATGTAGACCCGACTGAGTAAGAGGCTCACTGTGGCCTCAGTGTGGGCACTGCAAATTTTGATTAGGTTCCAATAGAGTTATTCAATAAGTTATGCATCCGTGCTAAGGTCAGATAGCTAGAGGGAGGTCACATGACTTCACCGAGCCTATCTAGATCAAAGTAAAAAAGGCTTTTGCCCTTAGTTTTTGTTTTAAAAAAGCTTAAGATTTTATTGTTGCTTTTCACAACAAATACATGTTTACAGCATCTCCTTGATTCCTGTTCCTCAATTCTGCTTGACTGGAGCAAGGCTGGCCTCGCTGAGAAGTGGTTTGGAGGCCTGATAAATATCACAATGGGGAACCCACCCATCATCTCAACTCTGTTTTGCACTGAGAGGCAACTGCAGGTCATGTTTTCCATAAGTGATATGCAAGGCAGGATTCGATTGCCCTGTGGGGCTCATCTTCAGTTTCAAATATTTATGACCCTAGTAGACTAAAGCCTCTGACCCTAGTTGCCAGACTACTAACGGGGGTAAAACCAGAGTAGTTAGCACAACTAGTGCCATCTACTGGGCGACTGCTGCATCATCTCTCTAGGACTAGCTTAGTTTTTAACCTGTGGGGAAAGGTTCTGCTATTCCAATAACAATTTTTTGTCTGATGATTTATGTATGATATGGAATATCATTAAGGGGACAGTTGGATCATTTAAGTTTATGAACAATCAACACTGTGACGTAAGCACATTTCAGTTAGCCAACTAAACCCCCAGCTGCTTCCAGAACCTTAGAAAATATGAGAAAGGTTGCCAGGTTTTGGATTCTCATTGCAGTTGTCTGTCAGTATCACTAGTGAGAAGTGTCAACTGTCAAAAATACCTTTTGGTGGGTGGTAGTTTGGTGAAAACAGTTGAAGTAGAACACAATGCTGCCCTTACAAATTCCATTCTTTTCCCCAGTGGTATTCTATAGAATCCTGCAAACATGTATTATAGAATTATTCAAGTTACACAGTCAGCTATAGGGGGAGATCATATAGCTTCATTGAGCCTGTCTAGATCAAAGTAAAAAAAGTCTTTTGCTCTTAGTTTTTGTTTAAAAATATTTAAGATTTTATTGTTAAAATCTTAAATAGATTGTCTTACTGCCACTGCTGATGGTGAAAAGATTTATTTAAGATTTTATTGTTCCTTGTCACAGCAAATGTATATTTGTAGTACCACTTTACTCCTGTTGGTCAGTTCCTACTGACTGGAGAAAGCCAAGTGACTGCTGCTGTTCTTGTGGTTATGTGAACTTTGCAGAACACAACCTATTCTAAATGTCAGGATGTGCTTGGGGGAGAAGAACATTCTTGGTTTGAGTTCTGGACCTGCTATTTACTGGCTCCATGACCAGGAACCTCACTGTAAAACCAGGATAATGGGCCTATGTGCTGGAAGAGGTATGTAGCTTATGTATGCAAAACACTTGTGCCATTTCTAAGGCTTAATGCAGTAGTCTTTTCACCATCAGCAGTGGCAGTAAGACAATCTATACTGTAAAATCTGAAATATTCAACAATGTATATGAATTGTTACAATTACTTTTAAAAAATAAAACAAAATTTTCCTTTCTTCTCTGGGCATAGAAAAGCACTTCTGCTGACGATTAGTGTGACAGTGTGGAGGACTGAGTCATCCTTACAAAGCTCTGCCTGTGACTGAGCACCTTGTGCCGTATTCATTCACCTCTGCCCAGAGCATGAGGGGAAGACTTGTGGGTCCAGCTTTGTACCAGGAAAGGGACAGGCAGGGGACATCCTGGAAAGAACCCTCTCTTCCCCGTGATGCCCTCAGGGTTGCTGTGCACCCAGGGTAGCAGAGTAACTTGTGGGCTTCT